TAAGCCTAGTAAGAGGACTGGAAGCAAATGGAAGGGAGGTTAAACTAGAAAGACAAGAGGGGAGGTGTACACATAAAGCGTGATCGCACTTTTTGCCTCACAGGTATCACTATTTACTTTGGAGCACGAGTTTTCGGCTGTCCATTACTTGTCAAAGATGCATTATCTACTGGAGAAGTATGAGGAATATTCGAAAAACGCACGTTCTGGTCTTGGATCTAAAAATTGATAAACCATACCTGATCATATACCCTTTCTTCCAAACAAATTATCACGTCAAATTTGCCCTTGAAATGTTGAAATTTCTGTGGCATATCTTTTATCCTACGATTTCGATCGAGCATGTGCAGCAGGCCATTCTGCGTATACCTAAACTGAGAAGCTTCAGGGAGGAGATGTAAAAAGAGAGCAAGAAAGCGAAAGAACAAAGGCAAAACGGCGACTTACAGTTGGAAATCCTTCTGCTTCAGATCATTGTAAATGTATTCATAGGAGACCATTCCAAACTCGTAGCAATTCGGCCGATCCGGCGAAGGACCCGGTAGCTTCACCTGACTTCCAGACCCAAACGATTCAACGTTAAAGCCTCTTTTCCTGAAACCAAAATCTCTTTTTGGGAATGAACTGCGAATTGCAGCATTTGGTGCTGTATCCTTAAGTGCTACCATCTTCTCTCAGTTCATTGTTAGGTATTAAAGAGCACAAACAGCACCGGGATGCTATTCCTATGAGCGAACTTCTTTTCAAATAATCAATATGAAAATGCTTGCGCTACTAAACTCATACAAAAAAGTCTGTTAGATCCAGAACAACCATTCGGTTTCTGTAACAACAATACGCGTGCAATTTTAATTTACATTTGTGAGCTGTAAGTGGAAATTTAAGGGATGACCGCAGCAAAAATTGTGCAAATGCAAGCGTATGTTAGGGAACTGGAAAGGCAAAACGTGCGATCGTCACCCCATCGAGATTTTCAACCGCCAAGCCTAGAACGCAGAAGGACGAGGAGCGGAGGAGGGGGAGGGCAGTGATCGAATTTTGGTTATTTAAAAAAAAA